TCGTGGCGCTGACTATGCGATACCCTCTATCCGCTAAAGTTGGCACTAACTTCGCCGACAAGTGGCGGTCGCTCGGTCGGTATAGTTCGCTTGCGGACTAAAGCCACGGAGTTTTTTGTGTATATAAATTGAAATGCGAACGTTGCAGTTCAGTGGTTGAGTGTGTGAGACTTGCAGCACCTGAGAATGGCCCGGTAGGATCGAAACATACAGTGCTATATATGTTAATAAACGATTGTTGCGTTGTTTTTAGTTGGTTATATAATGACTCTGTCAGTAACGAGACTGATGATAGAATGACTGATGAATTGAAGAGGATTTGGAAGGAAGCGGTCGGGACTGAGGCAAACCAAGCATTTGCCTGCAGGGACAGACAAATTAAAATGTTAATCTCCGATATGCCGAGAACATTCTTTTTTTTAATACGGTATATCCCAGTATGAACAGTGTTAAACAGAAAACATTTTTATTTGGAAGAGAACTTCTGATGTAACTTCCCTTGTCAGACTACATGGACACGATCACAAGGTAATCATTTTCAGGCTGTATCTGACGTCACGTTACTTGGAACAACGCACTAAAACTCGAACGGTTTATATTTCTCAGTATTGTTTATACTGAGTTCCAGAGATGACTGGATTTGTTCTGCCAACCCAGTTCCAGCCACCTCCAGGATTGTCCCAACTCTCTTGACGGTCAACAGCGACCTGATTGTCTCTACATTCATGGTGACGGCTGTAAAACTCATCCCAGGAAGTTTTTTAAAAAATGAACACAATGCAACTGTAGATTTTAAAAACTAAAATAGGGTTAATAATTTACTTTACGATTGTATTTACGGCTAACACGAACTTACTGTGTCCGTACACTGTTTCGAATTTGTCTTTTCCGTGTTAATGCCCTTGTCATAAGAGGCATGTCTCTTCAGATGACTGTCTCACGTCACATGCGAGGATGGCATTCAATATCAGAGGCAGCGGTTACCAGATAGAAGACTAGGAAGTTTCAACATTCACCAGAAAACACTAAAAAAATCGAAGTGTTCAGTGCTGATATGTCCAGGTTTACTCATCACGTGATATAGTATATATTGTGAACAAAATGCTTGTTAGGTACACTGTTCGCAGCAGTTTGTCTCGAGTATATTAAATATTCGGCCGCCCCATAGCTCAAGCGATTAGTCGCTGGCTTCCCACGACGGGGGCCCGGGTTAGATCCCGGGGTCTGGTCAAGTGGGAATTGTGGTGGACAAAGTGGCGCTGGGGCAGGTTTTCTCCGAGTACCTCAGTATCCCCTGCCAACCTTTATTCCACCAATTGCTCCGCAATCACCCTCATCTATAATCAGGGGCTGGTACAATAGGCCAGAAGTGGCCGCAACACAAGGGACTTAGTCTCACCCCACTAGCAATAAAAAAATATATTAATTATCCGCTCGTGGAACCGTGTTTGTCGTTAGTAACTACAAAATTTCAACAGGTACGTCACGTATGGAAGTCCCACTGATAAAATTTGAAGATACACGTTTCTGTTATTTATTTCAGCACCAGTTCCTCATCGGCCAAGAGTCATGGTTTCCGTCTTCCTTCTTGAGACGTTAATAATTCCTGAGGTATTCACCGTCCATCATAACGCCCCAGCGGAGTTTCATTAGTTTCATTTTTGTTTTCAAACAATTCTGCATATTTAAGTGTCCACGTTAAACGAATATTCTTGTATAAATTAACAAGAAATCTGTTTTTTTTTTCGAAGCATCATTTATGAGTGTTATTCAGCTGATAAAATAAATAAAATTTTGGTCTTCAACTTGGTTTGGAAACGTATGGCGACCAGTTTCGTTTATATGAACTCCAGGATTTGGAGCACTGTGAAGGATTTACCAAACATGCCGAGTCCGTGGCATCACACTAGGGTTCTTAAGCCCAAGGACTTCAAAATCATTACCTCAAGAATAGTTTCGAGCAGAAGGTGTCCAAATGGAAGCACGTTTGCATGCCTGTAACTATCAGTTTACGAATAAGTGCTGCCAACTGTGGGGCAGGAACACGAACACTGCGTCACAATCGGATACTCCACTTTGATCCAGTGACAATGTTGCTTATTTATGTGCCCACTGTTTGAAAGGCTCTGCATGCCATTGTCTGCAATTCTGGGCTCTACTGTGGCACTCAGTGTTGAGGAAGATGAATACAGAAGATTCCAGTGACGATTTCCACTGCTGCCACCGGAATTGTGATGGTGGTGGTGAGGATACTGAGGGCAGTGCCACCTGAGGAGCGTCTTATGAGCCTTGCCTGCAGGCCGACACTTCATACCCGGAGGAATAGAACACGACGCTTTTCCTGCTGGACAATGTCCTTCCTTCAGGTATCGAGGCCAGAATCTGATCCCCAGGTCCTTCCATTTGTACACAATGGGGCAGGCAGTGAAGGCCCACAGGAACTGCTGCATTTTCTTCTTCAGTTTGGCAGAAATGCGAGTACGCAGTCGCGAGTCGTCTGGCAGTCTGATGTACTTGAAGTTCATTTTGCGCAAAGAACGTGGCATGTCTGCTACTGGTACCAGGCGCCCTCGTTTGTTTTGTCGAAATGGGAATTCGACTAAGTCACTGCCGCTAGAAGTCGAATGGTTGTGGCTTGAGTGTCTGGAACAAAACGAATTCGAGTCAAAATATAAATCTCTTGCATGTCCGGGTAATGAGGGTGGATAGCAAGGAAACATAAGAAACAAACTCCGTGGTTTTAGTCCACAAGCGAACTATACCGACCGAGCGACCGCCGCTTGTCGGCGAAGTTAGTGCCAAATTTAGCGGATAGAGGGTGTCGCGTGGTCAACGCAACGAATCCTCACGGCCGTTAATCTCGGTTTTCTAGACCGGGAGCCGCTATTTCATTGAAATAGCTCCTCAATATCCTCACGAGGCTGCGTGAACGCCGTTCCAGACCCAATGCTTCTCAGAAAATCTGGTAGCGCCGGGAATCGAACCCGGACCTCTGAATCTGTAGCCAGGAACTCTGACAACTAGACCACAGAGGTGGTACAAATATAGTGGAACTCGGTTTTCAGTGAATGCAAATTTATAATTTATATCGTTATCAACTACAAAGTGTAGGCCTCTTTGAACTGTTCCCATCTTCGGGTTAGGCAACCCGGTCGTTTCGTCTCATATATATATTTGATTTGATTCTTTGGCATGCTATAAATCATTTCGCTGGTATAATTTTGCTTCTTCTCACAAGTTAAAAGTGTTTACTTGTTCTGTGATATCTATCCTTCCCCCTTTCTTCGTCTAGTCTGCAACCTGCCACTGATCTCAGGAATCTAATTTTCAGCGGATTTGATCTTTCTGAGCTGTTATTTAGTTAAAGTCCAGCATTCACTACCATATGAGGGAGATGACACTGCTAGAACTTTGTAGAATCCGACGTTCGTCTCGCGCTGAATTGAATTAGAATTTTTTTTTTAAATAAACGAATATATTATTGTCCATAGTCGATTGCATTAAGACACTGAAGTGTCACTTGAAGGTGGCGTGGCTACATTAAAACATGCCGCGACCAACAGAAGAAAATTTTTATGTAAATCTGACAGTTGTATTTGACAATATTATTAGATAAGTTTAAATCCTTAAAAATATTGACGAAAAAGGTGACAACTGTAAATTGAAAGGCCAAGTTAATTAAGTAACACCCCATGAAGACGTATGGAGGAGTACGGGTACAGCTCCATGGAGTCATAACGTCAGCATTACATGGAGCTGAGTGGTTGCCTTTGACCCTACGAAAAGAGCGCGGGTAAGAATTGGATATGAAGCAGTATTGACCTCAGAGACAGTATGGACGCTGTGGAGGAAAACCTCTTTGTCGGGAAACAACCCCGCACCGAGTTACTGCCGCTCCGTTAATGGAAAAAGAAGTGTAAGAAAGATACATTTGAGGAGAGCAAACATTCACATACCTGGGTCGAGTGATGCTCATGAACTGAGGGTCAAAGTTGCGCCCTAGCATGGGTCTGAGGGCAGTTGCGTTCAGGTCATGTGGCCTGGGATCTAACATTTTGTTGGGCGACTCAATCAAGTCAGGTGGAGGTAGTTCGTCTAGCGGATTTCCGGGACGTAACCCCAAGTCTTGAGGCGACCTGCCCTCGAAGAGTTCCCCGGAAGCATTGGCGCGCTCCCAAGGCGTCGGTGATGAACACACGCTCACAGCCAGTAGCCATGCTACTTGCACCAGCAGTGCTGTTCGCCCGCACCACTGCGCCATCTGCAACAGTCAGCGTCAGCTTCTGTAACGGGTGTTAACTTGGCAGCAATATAAACAGTGAAGAGTTATACCTTCTGTGATATAACGCCGTGTATACCGTTGAAAGTTAACTAACATTTCGGAGGAACATATCGCCTACATCTTCAGGGTCGAATGAGCCGAGCAAGGTACCAGCGTGAAAGCTGACGACAGGAATGTGAAAGTTCAAGGTCACGGAAATAATATGTGACTGACACTAAAATCAAAAGCTCAAAGGCCATGTTTAGGCATAAGACTGTGAGGCTGGCCTGCGTGTATAAGTCGGAAGGAAAGTACTGTGAAGATGATGATACTCACCAATGTCAGTTGAACAATATTTCTTCTTACCTAAACCAGCCATGTTATTCAATTGTCAAACCTAATATACAGTCGCCGAAAGTGAAATTTCGTAATGCGAAACGCTACTTCCCGTACGTTAAATGCCGTAACTGGGAGTTAAGTTCCAGAACGACACCAAAGTGACCAAGTAACGACATAAATCACCAGAGATGTTGCCTAAAATGAAACATATCAGGATAGGAAACGCAAAAGTATGTTATAAACACTGGATACCATGTTATGCTATATACGTATAATAATAGTAAGCTAAAAAGGTACAGTTGTCACTGTGCTTAACTGTTAAAAATTACGCCATGAAAGAGTATGGGGAGTGGGTGTATAGATCCACGTTTTCTTGGCCTCGGGACTAGCTGGAGGTGAGTGGTTTACTTCACGCCCCGGTCGCTTTATCCCCGCCATTATCCACCGGATAAGAGGCTCACTGGGCCTCACAGCCGCTCTGGATCTATGAAGAAATAAAACCTGCCATGCCGGGAACCGTAACCGGCCTTCCAGCCGGCTGAGGTATCATGGCTTTAGTCTGCAGAATATTTCAATGCATTAATGTGCAGAATTTGTTTGTGTGTTTTCGTTAGTACAAATTAATCACATTTCCAATTCCGTGGTCATGAAACAATTTTTGTTTTTCGATGATATAATAAAGGTCCATATTTGTTAAGTATCGACGTTACGGCGGTATACAAAAAACAAAACAAACCCCGTGGCCTGTGGTCCGCAAGCGAACTATACCGACCGAGCGATCGCCGCTTGTCGGCAAAGTTAGTGTCAATTTTAGCGGATAGAGGGTGTGGCGTGGTCAGCGCAACCGATCCCCACAGTCGTTAATCTCGGTTTTCTAGACCGGAGCCGCTATTTCCTTGAAATATCTCCTCAATTATCATCACGAGGCTGTGGATCCCGTTCAAAACTCACTGCTACTCAAAAGATCTGGTAGCGCCGGGAATCGAACCCGGGATCTCTGGATCTGTAGGCAGAAACTCTGATCACTAGAACACAGAGGCGGTCACCGTGTACAACACATGTTATATAAATATTTCAAGAGAAGAAAATAAACATTTATTTGTAAGCAATGAACAGGACGTACAATTCCTCTCCTGTGAGATATATGGAATTCACGTTTCTGTGCCATGGAATATTTGACCGGAATGAAAATAGATTCTTGCTCGGCAGGCAGAGAGGCCGACCTTGAGGAAAAAAGAAATTCTCGAGAAGTCCGTAATAAATACTAAGTCGGCTGGCCGACACGCAACGCCACAAGTGTTGAACCTATGGGCGCCGGCGCCTACACCCGGCTCGCTGCAGGTAACACTCCCTCACTCACTCACTCACTCACTCACTCACTCACTCACTCACTCACTCACTAAGATCAAGTGACTGCCTTCTGATCTGTAAAGGGCTTTTGCATAGAATTATCCCACACGCATGTCACAAATGTAACGTGCTTATTCTTTTGCCCTACGTACACGACACGTAAGATATACACGTATAACAACAGAACATGAACAATTATATAGTACATTCCTCTCAAAAATATTATAACAGTACAATTATTACAGATATCACTATAGCCGGGATAGCGCAGTTGGTATACCGACTGCCTACGGGTTGGACGACCGAGGGTTCGGAGTTCGAGTCCTGGTGAGGTCAAGAATTGTCACTTCTTCATGTCGTCCAGACCGGCTCTGGGGCCCGCCCAGCCTTCTATCCAATGGGCACCGGGGGTTAAGCGGCCGTGGCGTGAAGCTGACCACTCATCTCCAACTAGTGCCAAGGCCAAGAAAATCTGGATCTATACATCCGCTCCCCCGTACGCCTTCATGGTGTAGTGGCTAATTAGTTAAGCACAGGGACGACTCTTTGAACCAGAACAGAGATCATGGGAACTACAGAGGCGGCAGTATATTTCGGAAGTGCAAATTTCGTGTGCGACTTGTGCGTATTTGACAGGTGAATGTATTGGTGTACGGCCATTGACGGCCACCCCTGACATAATGCAACCGTGACGACAGGCAATAAGGAAGTGAAGCAAGCGTGTGACAAGGATTGACTGATCGACAGTCGCAGTAAACAGCTACCCGAGGCGAATTATGCGTGTTTTATTACACTCTGATTGGCCTGAGGAGAATAAATGCATGAATTACGCGTCTTATTGACAATAGGTGTAACTATTTATCTTGACAGACTGTTCAGTAAGACATTATCTGTAGACTGACTTATCCCACTCAAAAGAGTCTCACTGAAAGTGAGAGAGGCCCTGTCATGAGCTCTATCTTCCAGGATATTACGCCGTGTAGTCTGGTGAAAGTCAGCTGGCCTTTGTTACGAACACACTGCCTCCATCCTCACGGTCGAAGAATAAGCGAAGCTAGAAATCGGCAGACCGAGGCACGTTTCATTACGATTTTCTGCGGGTTATTATCTTTCGACTAGGAATATAAAGGCGATGTACCTCTTAATACCCGGTTGACTTTCACCTGTCTTCACGGTGTTATATTCCAGAAGAAATAACTCGTCATAATCACCGCTCTGGGAACCTAAAATCCAAAAGTCCTGAGAATACTTATTATCAGTATTATTTTCAAAAAGGTAAAGTTATCCCTGGAAACAGGCCGTGGAGGCTCAGGGTTGTAAGCCATCGAGGCCGCCACGTTTTCTCTACACAGTTGGTAAGTTTATCAGCCTTACAAGCCTCTCCCCGTTTGTCCCCAGGAAGATTCATGGTACTTTTCTGTTAGAGGCTTAATCGCGGATTTTTATACCCTGAAGATGGAGGCGATACGTTCCTCCGAAACGTCGGTTTACACAATATCTACACGGCGCCACATCCCCCAAAACGGCATTCTTCATAGTCACCGCCGTGAAAACCTCAAATCTTACGAATGATTTTTGTTGTTGTTTTATTTTATGGAACTTTAAGATTTTCATTATCCCAACTCTTATATTTTTAATCAGATCATTATTTCAGTACCAGCAGGCACCATTTCTGTGAATGGGAAACAGTTTCCAACCGTTAAAGGGATTTAAATACGGAATGTTATGCACAGATTTTTTATTGCTAGTGGGGTGGGACTAAGTCCCTTGTACTGCGGCCACTTCTGGCCTATTGTACAAGCCCCAGATGATACGTGAGGGTGATTGTGGAGCAATTGGTGGAATGAAGATGGGCAGGGGAAACCGAAGTGCTCTGAGAAACCCTGCCCCAGCGCCACTTTGTCCACCACAAATCCCACTTGACCAGACCCGGGATCGAACCCGGGCCGCCGCGGTGGGAAGCCAGCGACTAACCGCTTGAGCTATGGCGCAGCCTGATACACAGATACAGGAGACTGTTCAGATATAGGCCGATATGGTTCCGTTTTATACAGGTGCATTTGCACGGTTCCTGAAATCTGTGGTAGATGGCGAATTACACACTTTCTGGAGGCCTGTAACGTGTCACCTGATAGAGCCTATCTGGTTTACACTGCCTTTGGTGTGTAACTTACGTAATCCCAATTTTGGACTTTATTAACTCTTCATAATATTGCAGGTATTTCAGCGTCCTGTTTCACTGGTTAACGGTTTCATTTACAGGATCAGTAACCAATTTCAGCATCCTGTTTCACTGGTTAACGGTTTCATTTACAGGATCAGTAACCAATTTCAGCGTCCTGTTTCACTGGTTAACGGTTTCATTTACAGGATCAGTAACCAATTTCAGCGTCCTGTTTCACTGGTTAACGGTTTCGTTTACAGGATCAGTAGCCACTCAGCATCTATGGAAGTCACACATTTCCACATCAGCCTCAGTACGGACCTCACACACAACAAAATCCGCTCTACACGAGGCATATAACCCAAGAAACGACGGAGTGACCGAAACACGAAGTCTCAACTGAATGAGTAAGTTTTTAACTATTTTAAACAAAATTAAGCAATAATTGCAACCACTTTTAACCAAATTCTAAAACAGTGAACTAGATAAAGAAATACAGTGCCACATTTACATAAAATTACGTGATTATGACCTTGTAAGTTCAAAACATGCCGTAGAAATAACACTGGTTATGAAAAATGTAACCTAGGACATCAACAGTATATGTGCACGACGAGAAATTGCACCTTCAAGAATGTCCCTCCAAAATAGATAATAAATTCATTATTTATATCAAGTACATCGGATGCCATGCCGCCGGTCTGCACCAAACCTGTCTCATGTGCACTGCCGTGGTTACGTTATCATTTATGTGCTATTCTCTCACCTGTCACAGCGTAAACATGAACTCTTCCGCGTCCATGTATACCTGCCACTTAATAAACTTGTGTAATTTGTACACATCCGGACTATAATTAATCAAATACTGCACTCAGTACACGTTACATTGTGAGTAATGTTCTTAAACAATGCAAACATAATAACAATATTTTGCAATTATTATGAAACAGCAGCAGGGATAGCTCAGACGATTTAGTGCCTAGGCTAAGGAATGGATCATTGAGGAAATCAGGTTAGATTTTCAGCAGGAAAAACATATTTCTCTCTTCTCTACAGCGTCCAGATAATATCTGGGGACCACCCACCCCCCTATCGGGATGTGAAGCTGACCACTCACCTTCAACTAGTGAAGAGATCAAGAAAATAT